TATTTAGAAATACGAATGAGAAAGAATGAACATTATAATTTTAAAACTATTAAAATTGCCTGAAAGGTTTCATTTGCTTTTTTAAGTGTATGCAAAAAATAAGACTCACTATATCTGCTATGGCTAACTCTATAGTTTAGTTGTCAGTGGGGTAAGAACTTTTAGCTCGAGACTCACCTGGCTAGAAATGCGGTCTGATTTGTTAATAAGTGATTAACCGTGCTAGTGGTAGGCGGCGATTCCTTGCCTTTCAATGTCCTAATCTAAACCATTATCCACTGTACTATCCTTCACTTTTCTGTCCATTTCCTTATTTAAGCCTTTTGCTAAAAATGATTGCTAACCACTCACTTACTTCATTTTATTTTGCATCTCAGAAAAAACTTAATATAATTTTATTTTTCAATAGAATTTTTGTGCATAATTATAAATGATTATAAAATAATATTGAAAGAAATTCAGTTCTTAATAGAATCTCTATTCATTTTATTTATAAATTTATTCTTAATTTTATTATTTATTTACGACGATTTTTAAATCATTTGCTTCTCAATTTCTGCTAAATTTATATCGAATTTAGACATATTTTTAAAAATATATTTTCGGAAAATTTTTGATTAAAAACATGGTTAAGTTCCGTAAAATTGGAAAATATTAACTTTTTTTGGCGAAAATTTCTTTAAACATTTTTCTGAGGATTCACCAGTTGGAAATTGCCCTCGCTAATTTTTATTCTAAATAATAACCATTTTTTATAGAACAAATATTTTTATTCACATCTATTATCGAAACTGGACTAAAATTTTTGAATTTTTCATATACAACTGCTGATATTACGAATGAAATAATGACTATAAAATCGTAATATACAAAGGTTTCCAACTTTTTTCTTTTATTGCCGGTGGAAAAGTTATAATCCTAACTTCATAACAAGTTGGATGTATATTATTCCTCGATTATTCTTAATTCAATGAAGGATCAGAAAATTAGAAAGTTCCAAACTATTTAATCTTATAAATATTATAATTAAAAGATAATGCCAGCGGTATTTATCTAAGCATTTTGCCCAGAAAATGAAATAATTTTTTTTGCGCTGCGCCACCATGACGAAAAACAAAAATCTCAAAATATTATCCAACCCATCCATTTTTTAAAGAATATAAATAATATTATAAAGTTTCTTCTTTGATCAAAGACTGTTCATTGATAAATCTGTAAATACTGCTAATATTTTTGGATTGGATTAAAGCAATTGTGGCAGAAGAAGATGATCTTAAAAATTCCTTTCCATTTTGGAAAACTGAAGATTTACACGACTTTTAAGACCGATGGACGATATAAACCTTTAGTGAAACTAGTAGTTTTTGTGCTTTGCAAAATTAAAAATGTTTCGTCAAACATTTATCATTATGCACCCTTCTTGATGAAAAATTTTGCTCTCAAAGATCAGACCCATACACAAAGCAGATTCTATTCTTGTTGACCATATTTTTTTTTGCTTTAATTGGCCCTAGCGAATGGATTTAGGGTCCGTCTAAGATTATTAATTGGAGAATTCGCCTTATAAATAGGCAAATATACTTTTTGAAAATCCTGCTATATTCCCCATAATATTCTTTCAAATTCTACTATAGTTTCCATACCTACCTAATCCATATTTTTCCCCACCTCCCATCTTTCTTGCTCTATCTATTCTCAATTAATGCTACTTTTCGGGTTATTTATAGGTGCGATCGCGGCTAAACGTAAGTTTAATGAAATGCGAAGAGAGCGCAATGAAAGTAGGTGGTATTAAAGAGTTATTATTTCTATGAATGTTACAGCGTGATGAAAGAGCTATCGGCAGATTTTAGTGAAAGGGTTCATCGACTGAAGGAAAGAGAATATTGGGAGTGCTAACGAGGCGTTCAAGGGTATTTTGGAGCGTTTTCCAAGAAATACGGTAGGTCTTGAGGGATATCAAAGATTCTGAATGCGACTGGCTAATAATGACCATCCATAAATTTTATTATAAATACATTGATGTCATTTGATAGAAAGCCCATTATTACACAGAGCAGAAATTTATAAGAGAATAATAAAAAGGATATAAGATAGATTTGGATGGAATTCGTTGAAATATTGTGAATGTTTGGTGATGAAATGTGCAAATGCGTGAAATATTTCATTTTTATCAAATTAAACTCGCTTCTGAGACGAATATAAGTATTTAAGTATAAATTATAACAAGTTTTCTGTAATGAAGAAATCCTTTTAGTATTAACTGAACCGTAAGTGATCGGTTAGAAAAATTGCTTTTAAATAGGTTCATTCCTTTCTTCCTCGTCATTCTTTAATATTTTTGTTTTGTTTTCTGCTTAATAATTTGATTAGCGGATTCGTTTCATCAGTACTTTTAATTTTTGCATTAGCGAAAAGTTCATTATTATAGGCTTCACATTAGGGGCATTAAAATTACTTTAAGCATTGTTCAAAATTTCCTTTGATGGTGAAAGAATTAATGACGGAAAAACTAAAATGGAAAATATGATTGCTATTTTTGTTTTTCTGGTATTTAATAAATATTTAATTATAAAATTTATACATAAAATTTATTATTTAAGCAAATTTTGTTGATTTCAAAATACCATAAAACAAAATTTCTTATTAACGACGATCGATATTTTGAAAAGGTTTTTTGCAATTTTTTTATTAAAAAAATCTTCATTTTCATCTGAAAAGCAGTTTAAAAATAAGGAAATAAAATGAAATGAAAAATTATCTTTATAAATACTATAAAGAAGAAATAATTATGGAGCTTTGGTCGAATTCGGTAAATCAAAATAGAAAAATGCCAATTTGCTAAAATTTTTTTTCACTTTTCTCGAGTTCGAATTTGCAAATAAATTTTAGACATTTTCATTTTTTTCTCTGCAGTATTATTATTGTCATCATTTGTAGGAGAAAAAAACTAATTAAAAGGACTAATAATATAGTGTTGGAAGGAAGGATCTAAATCGGTAGAAAATTATATAATTGTCGAAATCTTGGCGAAACAATTGAAGAACAACCGCGAGGCCATCAGTGATATCACTATAGCTAATTACAATTATATTGTTCAAAAACAATGTAGCGCTTAAGACACAACGGGTAGCAACTTTTAATACGCCTGAGGAACTCTCCAAAGGATAAAAATTTTGATTTATCAATATATTCAATATATTCCAATTATCAAATCGTAGCCAAGTCCAAATCGTTACGCCAGACTAATGGAACGAGCATCGTGGTTCCTTCCCTTGCTGCTCACACGAATAAAGCCAAATGTGCTAATTACCAGTGCAATCAACCTAATCCGAAATGAACAACGCTGCAAAAAAGATAAATTATTGTTACAATATTATTTCTTTGAAGTATCTTTGAATAGAATTAAAAAGAATTTATAAATTCAACACAAAAAAAATCCAATTTCAGCATGCTATGAGCAAATTATTTCATAAGCGATGCAGTTGTCTTTTTTTCTTTCTTCATGATATTTTCAATTTTTTAATAGTATTAAACAAAAATATTAGGTAACAGCGAACAGAGTGTTTTGCTTTAGTAACCTTTAAGTGGTCCAGCAAAGCCATAAATTTCAGCGAGGTGTATGAAAGGAGACGTGCAGGGAAATTATTCTTTCACTGCGATTACTGTGAGCATCAAAAAAATTTCGTTTTTTATAATATAATAAAATAATTTTTATAATATATTAATTAATATTAATTAATATATAATTAATTAATTAATATTAATTAATTAATATTAATTTAAGGACATTAGACCTTTTTTCGTTTTTGCTCTTATTCAATTAGAAAACATTTCAGTAATTTCAGCAATCAGCAATTTCTGTCACCAATTGCAATTCCTAAAATAGGAGGACAAAGAGTGGTTATTGCTGAGATTACCATTCGAGCGTAAAAGTTCTACTTCCAACAAGAGTTAAATAATCCGACTGATGCTTATCATCTGTCTATCTTTCAACTTTCTAAGTGAACACACCTGGCAAAAATTTTTCTCTCCTACTACTATTATCTAGTGGAACCAGCTGAATCAGAAATTATGAACGCTGATCAATTTATTAAATTAAATGCTATAATCCTCTTTCTTTATTTCCTTTATTATTACAATCGACCTGGTTTATTTTTCCTTCTTTTTACGTATGAGAAAATTTTTTCTAATCTATTTAAATAACAGAATAACAGAATAAAATTAATATTTAATCAATAAATAACAAATACTTATTTAATTTATTCATAAATTTATTATTTATATAAATTTGCAATTTTTAATGCTTTAACGTATTTTTCTATTTTTTTTCAATTGCTTGTTTGGCTAATTTCTCTAAATTTCTAAAAAAATTTTCTTAAAAACGCTAAGAACATATATAACCAAACGTTCAATAAATTAAGAAGAAATGCCATTTTCTCAACTCGTTTCTGCGTAAAAGGTTTCCGATTCAATTTGCGTTGTTGATCGCAATCCGTATTAGTAATTTAGCTATATTGTACCAAATAAAATAATGCTGAATTATAAAAGTTATTGGTTCTTAAAACTAGTTTTGTTCCAATCAAATTGTTTACATCAATTAAATTAATTGTTTCCTTTATTTTTTTACAATATTAGTTTTAAAATGAATATTCTTAGCTTTTAATGCTTTATATTTGAAAATAATAATTACTATTTTTAATTATTTAACACATTTTCTTTTGCACTTAAATGAATAATAGTTGCATTTCGAAATTTATATTTTCAAATAATTATTTAATCCAAAAATCAATTCGAAATCGTCATTTTATTCCTTTAATATTATTTTTTAAACGCTCATTTTGACGGCCATTTTTTCGTTATTTTTCGTGTTTTTCGTTTTGCGTAACATTGAACAACCTTAAAAATTTTTTAAAATTAGAGTTATCACTAAATATTTTGGATTTCTAAATGAGATTTTTCTATTTTTGATTCAAAAATTCTTAAGGAACAATTAATTAATGTCGCCAGTGCAAGGACCATTCATTGGAATTCAAGGAATTAGTGATGTCGATGCTGAAAAAGTAAATATTTTCACTATAATAATATGATTTACCTTGGTTAGATAGCTTTTATTTATGTTTTCTGTATTTACGTAAGATTATCATTAGATTATCATCACTATTAGATTAGAGATTACAATGGTGCGGACAACCAAAATATTTTGAAGCATTTTTATTCTGGGCTTTTGCATAATGCTCGTGAAAGATTTCTCAGCTATTGAAACACAATTGCTTCTTAGAACTCGGACCACGAGCCACTTTTTTCATCGATATTTTTTTGATTTTATTAGTTTTTAACTCTCGTAGCCAAATTCTTTGTGGATCGATATCCTTTTTTAAACCTAAAACTGATATTGTTTTCACATATTAATTATTTATTTTTGTTCAAATTGTAGTTTTTTCTTTTGCATTATTCTGAAAGTTTTCCATCGGAAAATTTTAATTTCACGATTTTCCTATTTTCTATTTCAAGGAGTGCTAGCAAATCATTATCACAATTTAATTTTATGCTTAAATTTTCTTTCCTTCATATTAAATAAATGGTTTAGTATGGCAAAGGAATACATAATGCTACTGATGCGTTAAAAGATATGATGGAACTTGTAAGTACACCAGATTTTGAGAATCGCGAAGGATGGAAGCGAAAAAATTCTAATAAAACTGATGTTGTATATTCTAAGCGATATTCGATGGGGAAAGTTTTCACTATGAAGGTTTGTTAAACTGCTAAGACTGATAATTATATTTTAGATAAAATCAATATTTATCATATAGTGCACTTATCTTCTAAAATAAAAAATAAATATAAAATAAAAGAAGGCTCGATTAACTTAAAATGGCTTTTTGCACTAAGAAACGATGAATTTTTCTTCATGAACTTTCAAAAATTGTAAAAAATCGTAATAAAATTCATTTCATTTCATTTAAAAATTAATATAATGAGTGTTGAATTCTCTTATAACATTTCATTAAAAATAAGTAAGGTTTAGATTGCTTTTAATTTAAAATATATTTTTATTAAAGGCATTTTATTTGGTGAAAATTAAAAGATTGAGAGTTACTGGGAAGCACGAATGAATGCAATTCTAATGCTCTAATGAAGGCAAATAAATTACAAAACTGTTTTTAGAAAAGGAAATCGCATATATAAAACTTCAATTTTTTAAGGTTAAAAATCTTTTTTAGACTGTATTTGACTTTCCACTGCAACAAGCATTTGCTGAACACTGGGAAAACTTTATTGATATAATTCACTACAATAAAAATATATCGGATGTGAAAGTGATCGCTGATTTAGCTTCAAATGTCGACGTTGTTTATGTAACTTCTTTTAATTTCTTAATTTATTAATGATATAAGGAATATTTTTTAAGAAATTCTGGAATAGCGATCTTAGCCAAATGAAATTGGCCTCAAGAAAGGATTTCATTATATTCGAATCTTAATAAGAGAATTAAAATGATAATGAATTCTACTATCACTGCTAAGGCAATCAGTAACAATTTGCTGAATAAACCTGAAATTGCTTCGTTGCTTCAATTTCAATTTCAACTAATAAGTTCTCTAAAACGAATTCAAATTCGCCAAATTTTAAATTCATCTATGTTTTATTCAGTTACGAAGGCTTTGTAAGTTGAAAGCTGTATTGTATAATTTCTCATCACAAATGTGCTTTAGTTTTTCAGAGACGTTTTAAAGTTTTTATTTCGATAATATAAATGGAAAGGTTGAATGAAAGAATCGAAATTAATTAGAAGTAATAGAAGAATAAAAATGTGGTGCTTTTTTGTGCAAGACAGGAATATTTTTATTAGGTAACAAGAGGATAATATTAGAATTAATATTCGTAGAAGCGATATTGCAGTATGCGATGAATGATTATGCAAATATAAGAGGACGGGAATTTTTAATTTGTCGAACATTTCGAAGAGTCGGCGATGAAATAATTGAAGCAGCAAGAAGTTTTGATTTACCCGACGTTAAACCGAACCCGCTGAAAATTCGGTAAATTCCATCCAACTCGCCCATCTCCTTATTCTTTCTTACATTAATTGTCTACTACTTTACTGAATTTTTTAATATTATTTCTGCTTAGTTTTGTAGCTTTGAATTTAGGAATTTAATTTATATTCTGAAATTTTTAATTGAATAACGCTGTTGCGATATCATTTTTAGCCACAAAAGTGAATTTTATAAATCTCATAAAATTTATGAAAATTTGTGAGGAAATATTTTAAATTTTTAAACGAACGAAATTTTCAGCGGTCATGTGGTACTTGCTGGCGGTCGTTTTCGAATGCATCCTAAAGAAAGTACGAAAACAGTGGTTGATTATGTGATGTGTATTGATTTTAAAGGACCGGATATACCAAAAGCAATTATGGATACAACTATAGGAATGTTTATAATACAAGATGCTGATTACACAAGAAAACAAATTGATAGAGTGAAAGATTCTCTCTAAAAAAACGAAATTAGGTGATAACAACGAAATTATTTATCATTGATAATACCATCTTAAGAAAAATTTTATATTAGCAGAATTCGACGCTAAAAAAATTGGTACAATAATGATAATAATATAATCAAATAATAATAGTGAGTAATTTAAAAAAATGTTTTTAATAGAAATTATACATAAAATGATAATGATTTGATTTGCCAAAAAGAAATTTCATTGAAATTAATGTTTTGAAAAATATTTCTATAAATTTTCTTTTTTTAATTTCAAGGTATTTTACGATTGTTTATAATTCAAAATCGAAAATTTTATAATTTATTTTATAAAATATTAATATCAAACGTTTGGTTAATTATTTCGATAGAAATATAGTAACAAATCTTCTCTTTTTTGCTAATAAAAAATCGAAATTTAAAAAAAAAACATTCAAAACATAAATTTTATCACTGCGTGGAATATTATAAAAAATTATTCCTTTAACTTTTCGATGAAATGGTACAAAAAAACTGAAATTTTTGCAAAATCCTATTACACTGAATAGAAGCAAAGATGAATTTATAAATTTATCGTTGATATGCGCAAATAATTTTTTTAAAAAACTTAGTGCTACCATAGTATAAGGCGATTAGAGTCATAAATAGGTTATTAATCATCCAATCTTAGTGAATTTGAAAACTGAAGATACTTGTTTCGTTTTCGAGCGATCTGTGCTTTCTGAATGAAAAAAAAATTTATATCCTTGTTTTCACTTATTTTTTACTGAAAGTTAGCATACTTCTCATAACTTCTAATAAGGGCTGCAGCTTTACCAATTGTAGCAACGACAGATATTTTCACCAAACATTATTTTTTCACACATTTTATTTTATGCAACGGAAGAATTAGGAAGTGCCCAGGAAATGAAAATCATTAAAAATGAGCGATTGAAAATATGGCTGAAATCGCATTTAGTTAATGTATTTTCGCGCAAAATATTCGTCAACTTGATTTTTATACAATTCGCAAAGATATTCTCGTCCATATGAAGATAAATGACCATTTTCTTGAAAATATGAGACGTAAGTTTGTAGATTATGCAAGTGGCACCATTTGAACTGAAATTCCAATGGAATAAATATTCTGCTTTCCAAAATTTCGAAAGAAAATTTGACTTTATGAATAAAATTAGATAGTCAATTATATGCAAATAATTTTAGCGATTTCTATTTGCATCTTTATGTTTTTTTTCAAAAGCTTATTAAATATACAAGAATAGTTCACCGCTTTGAGCGAAAAGATTTTATTATCAATGGATTAATTACGAAACGAAATAAAGAAATTGGACTGAATTTTATAGCAATGATAAAACGCAAATAATTATTCACCTTTGGACCACAAAACCATCGATATGGATAGATTCGCTCACAATTTGTGCAGTAAATTGCATCAAGTCTTGTGAATGAATATTTTAAATGATTCCAATAATTTTTAAAAGATAATTTTATCAAAACTTTTGAGTTATTTTGAATACTTTCCATGTGTTTTGTAATTATATCTCTTTAATTATGCAATAAAATATTTTTACGACCATAAAAATAAAAGGCAATAAATATTTTTTTGCGATAATTTTCTCGCACTTTAAATAAAATAAGAAAAATAAAGAAATATTCTAAAAAATAGCCTAAAAATTATTTTGTCTAAATTAAACTTTTAATTTTAAACTCTTCTTTCCAAATTAAATTTGGTTTTATTAAAAAACGGAAAAAGCATATTTCAGTGAAAAAAAGTTTTTTGATAAATTGTAGGAAAACGAAAATTGAAAGAAAATTAATTTTGGAACTAATATTGGAACAATAATACTAAACTAATAATAAAACTAATATTTTCCAAAATTTATGTAGAAAAATTGATATTACTGATAAATTGGATCCCATATCATATCATAAGATATTATGATTCGTCGACTAACATTCGATAGAATTTGAATAGTTTTCTGCATATTTTTAAGGATTTCATCGTTATATACGTTATATTCGTCTAAATAATTTGTTACTGGAGAATGCGATCTAAAAAATCGTCATTTTTTGATAAAAATATTTTCTAACGAGGAGTGATTTATTTAAAAAATTGTAAAATCATGTGTCCCAACAAACGATTTTTATAGCGAATTATTTTTACAATTTGTATATTTTATTTGTTAATTTGCACATAAATTGGTTATATTTGCATAAATTTTTTTTTACAAAGCGTGAATGAAAAATTAATCACTTGAAAATTAAATAAATAACATCGGGTCGTGTTGAAGTAAGCATTTTAATAGCATCGTTCACGAATGTAAGGCAGTTCTTGCCAAAGTTCGAATCTATAAATGGTAAGCATTCGCGAGATGCTATAAGACGAATTTCATTATAACGATTTCGCGAAAAGGCTTTTTCGATCGAATAAAATGAACGATGAGCAAAACTGTCACCGTATATTGCAATTGTAGTATTACCCATTCCCTAAATTTTTGGTATTTATTCAAATCATAATTCATATTTTACTTGTAACTCTCAAAGCTGAAGCTGAATTCACCTCCAAATCTCCGACTAACTCTCATCATTAACGTCTAATCTAATTTTTTTATTTTTAAAATGAAACTGATCCATTGCACCTTAAATATTTATAATAAGTGTTATTTTATTGAATTAATGCAAAATTTATCAAAAAAAAAATCTTTCTGACGAAATACTTCATCAATATAGCCAAAACAATCAATTAAATTAAATAAATTATAAATCAAATCAATTAAATTATATAAATTATATATATATTTTATATATACACATATAGTTTATATATTTTTTTTAAATTTAATTGCCTTTTTATTTTCATTTTTTTATTTTTTTTAAAGTTTCATTGTCTATTTTATTATTTTCTGCAAATCTAATATTTTTATTTGTCTTTGGCAGAAGTAAACCTGCTATTATGTCAAAAATCCAGGTGGCTGCTGGGGAGCCATCTGTAACTCTATCCGCAAGTGACTCTATGGTGAAAGAGTTAGATACATTTGATACGGCGTCCGCGTCTCCCGACGCGCATGATACTTCGAGCCCAGTGGTACATGCGATAAGAACGCTTATGCAAGTCAAGCGATCACTGTCCACACCCTGTCTAAGTATCGTATGGATATCGCTTGCTT